GCGGGGCGGCGGGGGCAGGGAGCGGATAGGCGCGGGGCATGGCGGGCCACCGGGATCGCTGCATGCCGGGAGTTGTGGGTCGCTGGACGGGAGGGCGCGAGGGTCAAGCGTGTGCGCGGGGAGAAGCGCTGACAGTGGTCGCGAGAGGTGACTCAGCGCTTGCAGCCTCCACGTGGCCGAGCGGGCACAGCGCTGAGTCAGCCCCGGGCTGTGTGCTGAAGCCCGCACTTGATTTGCTGCTGGGTAACAAAGAACTTCCTCGTGTTAGCTTTAGGCGTACAACCTACTAGTTTTATTGTGCGACCCCAAGTGTTTGTGTTGTGAGAATAAATATTAAGTCCCTATTTCATTTCCCTTCACCGTTTAGGTTTTTTTTACGGGTTTCCCTCGCCAACCACGGTTTTGAGTATCCACACTTAATATTCTATATATATATATACCATTTTGGCTAGCACGGTATTTTGAGTAACCACGGTTTTTCGTGGCTGTGGCTGCCATTTTTCCCATGCGCTTTTTGTCTTGCCAACCAGGGGGAACTTTCAGGAACCTAACCCCAGCGGTTGGCGAGGGAAACCTGTATACTTTTATCATGTCCCCCCTTTTCTTAACTGAATAGGCCTGGCCTCTTTACTCTCTTCTCATTCAGAAGCCCCTCCATACCACTGATCATCCTGATTATAGGCAACACGCAAGGGGGCACAGGTGGGCATGTGCCCCCCGACCCTGAGATTGACCGCTACCGAAGCCGCTGCCAGCTTCTGTTGTTCATGATCCTGATTGCCAAACTTGTGGTGCCCCTCCACACCACTGATCATCCTGATCATAGGCGACGCATAGGGATGGCACAGTTGGGGGGGCATGTGTCATCCCCCCCTCCACTCCCCAAGATTGGCCGCCACCGAAGGCTTCTGCTGGTAGTTGCTGCTTGCACCCGCCCCCTGCCCCCTCACTGTTGATGGCGTCTGCGGGCGGTCTCTGCTCACCACCCTGGTGTCTTCCCAGTCACGGGAGGCATCAATTGTTCATGATCCTGATTGCCAAACTTCCCTGGACCCTCTCCAGTTCTATATTCTTTCTGAGATGTGGGGACCAGAACTGGTCACAGTGTTCAGTTGATTCACTTCTTCAACATACATAATAACCATGACTTTCCCAGCCTGGTGTATCTGCAGCCTGGACACTAATGGTTTCTTATGACAAAATTAATTTGTGCCATGCACTTGGTCCAATAGAAGAGCTCTTCCACAAGAATCCTTACCCCACAGCAGTGACCACTGACTGTCAGTGCAAGCTACTAGTGACCACTTGAGACACTGCAGACCAGGGTTGAGGGAAAAAATTGGTACAAGATGAAGCTGCAAGGAAGCCAGCCCCTGGCAAGCTTGGAAAAAAAAGTTAAAAAATAACAAAATCACTGCAACCCAGTGTTAACTATGGCAGCTGATGAAGTGAGCTCAGTCCCACAAAAGCTCAGGCTACACATCTCTGATTGAGTTACTCGTTAGCTCTATTCTGCCTTCTGCCTAACACTAGAACAGAACATTTCTGAGAAGAGATCCAAAATCAAAACATAGCAGTTCCCTTCAGAAACACCATTACAACCCTATCGCCATCATTCTGCTGGCTTGAACAACTTAACTGTGGTGGCTTGGTTCATTTTTTTGTTGTGTAACCTTCTTCTACAGTTGTTCGTTCTGTATTTGATTGAAAAAAAATATTTTGAATTTTGAATGACATGGCATACATAATCCCCCTTTCTGGATGCTTCCCTGAGATACAAGCAAGAGATCTAATAGTGCTAACATGTAATATCCAAATAGAAGACTTGCAATCAAGAAAAGGCAGAGATCTTCGCTTCAGCCTTATTTATTCTACCTAATCAGTTCAACATGGATGTGTCAATGACCTGGTAACTCTACTAGAGCGATTTTCAAGCTGAAAGCTTATACAACCTTTTGGAGAGGTAAAATCACCCTTCCTGATCCTCCTCACTACTCTCCCGTGCATGGATCTAAGAATACAAAGTTCTTTGGGTAAATGTGATATATTTTAATAGACAAACTAAATAGTTGTAAAAATTGTTCCCTGCAAGCTTTCAGGCACAAACACCTTTCTTCAGGCATAAGGAAAGTCTGCTGGTGTTGTGTGCTCCTAGGTGTCTTAGAAAAGATATGTCATTGTTGAGTCTGGCTTCTTTAAACCTGTCAGCTATTGCATTATAGCAGATGCTTACATTGAGTTGCTTGTCCACTATAACCCTTAAAATCTTAGAGCCTTTTCAGGGATGTTGCATTGAAGGATACCTCTCCCTATTTCATAGCCATGACCATTTTCCTTGACCTGTAACAGGGTATTATGGAATATATTTTTACACGGGCCCAGCTCACCAAACAGTGCAGAGGTCCTCAGTACAAAAGCTACCAGTGTGATGTTTGAGGAGAGAATTTGTATGAAATGCATCATATAAGCCAGGGCCCCAATGCAGTGACCACTTGCACATGTGAATAGCAATGAGCAGTACTGTTGAAGTCAGTAGGACAACTGTTGTGTGAAAAGTTCAGCAAGTGTATCAGTGTTCAAGAGATCGCAGACTTCAGTTTTATCATACTGCATTTGTGATTTTTTTCCCCCTGGTAGGTGGCAGTAACAGCTCATTACTTTTCCTTTCCATACACAGAACAAGAACCCGAACAAAACAAACCCTTTCAAGAAACAGTTTTCAAAACTTCTATTAGCAATAAGCTATTCTGGTTTACAAACTTAGATCCAAATATTCCCTTTAGGGGCATGGGTAAGTTCAAAATGATATGTGCATGGAGCAGGGAAAAGGCGACATAACACTATTTTATTACTCTTTTCAGTCCTGTAATCTCCAAAGTATGATCTCATTTTATTTGAAGCTTCCTGCATGTGTAGCTATGGCTGAGGGAAGAGTTGTTCTCTGTAGACACCTCTTTTCTTGACATTAAATACTTTTCAACAGTATTCAACTGTGGCTTTTTTTAAAACAGAGAGCAGTTCTCCAGATAGAGCCATCTGGTGGGTTTATGCCACAACAGCTGCACATACACTTGCTCTATAAAATTAGTCAATGACATTTTTTTTCCCTGGTCCTTGCCATTCCTGGTGGAGAATGTAAATCCACTGTCCACTTTCCAAGCACAACTGCCTCCAAATTAAACCAGTCTGCCATCTCGGTTCTGTAGTTTTGAACCATGCAGCCATCCAATATCAGATAAGGTGACTGGAGCCAGCTCGCACCAGGACAGATATGGCCTATGGACCAGCCAAAATTCACTGAAAAACATCAAGTTCTATTCATCACGATCTAAACCCTAATGGCCAGCTTGCAAACGAGAAAAACATAACTTTCCTCAGCTTCTTTTGTAAAAATTGAACCAACAAACCCATAGCGTCAGGCGGGCAGATACCCCCATTGACAATACTAGAGCTGCAAGTCTGCACTGGAGAGCAGAGTTTGGCCCTTGATCTTTAGCACAGCGGTTCTCCACCTTTTCAGACTCGAGGTCCCCCTCCAGAGGCTCAAAGCCTCCCACAGAAGATGCCAGCTCTTAGCTTTCACTCATTTGACTACAGAAAAACAAGAGCCATTGCCCTGTTGCAAAGAATCGAGAAACCCCACTGGTCAGGATGGTTAACACTGGATCCCTGCGTGCAAACAGCATTTCTCTCGTGAATCGTGACCTAGCAGCGCTAACGGTCTGCGGCGCCCTGAGGCACCCTGGGAAGGATCTCAAAGCACCCGACGGTGAGCCGCCGTTCCACCACGTGCATCCCGCTGTCGCCCCCCCAGCAATGAGCTTTAGCCAGGGGGTAAAATGCCGCTGGAAAGGGGCAGGCTTTCAAGGACGCTCTCTGGAGGCCTCACGCTGCTTGGCGGTCTCCCACGGTCCCAGCTCTCCGAGTCCTGTTAGCACTAGGAAGACCAGACTTCATTTTCTTTAAAAAAACCCAACAGCCTGAGCATACTCAGAAGCCCTGGGCACACCCTAAAGGCTCAGACACCAGGAAAAGAGAAGAAGGAGCCCCACACCACGCTTGTAGTGTAGCTGCATTATGCTCCCCCTGCAACAACCACACCTGCGCATGCGCCTCGTCCCAGTCCCATGCGCATGCGCACTCTCCCCCCTCCCGGGCTGTGCCTCAGTAACAATGGCGGGCAATGGCCACCATCCCTCGCCCCGCCCCTGCGCGTGGTCACGTGGCCGGCACGTGGCTCCCGAGGGAAGGCGGTACCCGGAAGTCGCGGCTGGAGGCGCAGGCGGTGCGGTCAGGAGCGGAGCGCTCTCTCCCCCCCTACTCTCTCCTCCGTGAGGGGGAGTCGGTACGGCGGGATGGAGGAGGGGCATGGGCCGGGGCGGTCAGGGGAGGATGGGGGTTGGGCATGCGCTGGGCTGGGCAAGATGGGGGACGGGCATGGGCTGGCGGGGCGCTGGGCCGAGGGCTGCCTAGTCGTTGTCTCCCGTCTGGGGACGCGGGCACAGGCTGGGGGGGGGGGGGGGGGGGG